AATTTGGCAGCACTTAAAAGAAATAAAAATATTAGAATTGGTTCAAAAACCAGTGCTGCATTACAGGACAGTATCTGAGTATCTGACCCAGCTATTCTGGCAATATCAATAAAGATGTCTCCCCCACCTGATTAACATCTTTAATATCAAAGCTAATAACTTGGGGGGGCTTAGGACTGCTAAAAGCTTGGAGCAGGAGAAACACTGAAGTGCCCATGTGCAGGCTGTGCAAACACAAGCTGTGCTAGGTGAGCAGGGGGCAGCAGGGGAGGGCCTGGCTGCACCCCTGGCTGCTGCCAGGATCCAGCTCCATGGCTGCAGACCAGCACTTTGGAGACTTCAGCCCACTGGCTCCAACAACACTTTCTCGTGGAACAAAGCCCATCTCCTCTAACACAGCTTTTTCCCAGGAACTGGCCCATATGGAATAAAATAAATAAATCACAAGTGTTTTGCGAAAGGGAAAAAAAAGTTCCTGCTGTACATAACTCGGGGGAGCAGATGTTTTTCCATTAGCTCACTGTTCTCTGCTGCACTGGCTCTCTTTGCATTTCTTGTTTGTAGCATGTTCAGTATAAACTATTTTTCCTAGGTTAAACTTTAGCATGTTACTGAGACAGCAGGTAGCCCACTGCCGCCCCACTGTGAGTACATGGAATAGTATCCTTGTCATTTTCCTCTAAATCCTCCTTTAAATTAGCCTTAGGGTCTACCTGGTGAGGTTCACAGGCTGAGCTTAGCAGGCATTTAGCCAAACTTAGATCAAATTACCAGACCTACTTTGCTGTGAGTGGCCATATTTGGTAAAGTATTGGGTTAGTCAAGAAGCTAAATTGTCAGATACAAACTACTAGTAAAGACAAACAAAGTGGACCTTGTAGTTAAAAGTAAAGCTTAAAATAATACAGTAACAGGAGCTAGAATATTAGAACTCTTATTAAAACTGGCTTGTAGCATTCTAAAATGCTCTGTATAAATAGAGCATATGGTTATTACTGCCTGGAAGTATAATCATACATACTTCATATAAAAATCATTCCAGTTACCCAAAGAGCCTAGAACTATTAACACTATTTCTTTCCAATATTGACATGCTTTGCTCTCTGGGTCAAAAGTGATCTTATAAAAATGCCAAATGAAGGTAAATTTTGGTCATAAATTTGAACAATTTCAAATATATTTTCTTTAGCCAAACAGCATGACTCTATTTTCTAAACAAAAGGGAGGAGTACTGGCATGACTGTTAGAAGTACTAGCTCTAGTAATCTCTAGGATTCCCCTTGCAGCTCTTCCTGCAGGAAGAGGGAGGAGTTAACAAGCTTTACCAGTGCCACCAAAGTTCCTTGCCTCTTCTCAAACTTGAATTCAAGCTCTCAGCCATGAAAAGCAGAACAAAGAGGAGAAATGAGCATAAGGATTGCATAATGAACACCTCTCCTGGAGCTGCACCACCACAGCATGTGCACTGTAGCACTGTTCCTAAGTACTCCCTGAAATGAGCTGTTTCTCAGACATGGGGCCAAGAATAATGTTTAGGCTCATAAATGTTAAAGTGTTCCGAGATGACTCTTTTTAAGCAGCCATTATATTCAAGAGGACTAGGGGGGTTATTGTTAAAAGGGACCAGAGAAGCTGTGTTAACAATCTCTGCTGCAGAACACTTGGAAATAGAATATGCCCGTTAGTATTCCAAGCATGCCTTCTGCAGGGGACGTCTCTAGTCTTTGAGAACAGCACACTGCTCTTCCAAAGCTGTGACTACCTGTGCAGAAACAGGAAGATATGGAAGCCCACTAAGGCAATGTACCAAGTTCTGTGCTGCAGATGACTGTACTCCCAGGTGGTCCTGTAAGAGATGGCTGGATGTGAGATTAACAGAGAGAATTCACAGGTTATTTTGATGCTTGAAAGAGAGAGGACTCTTTCTAGAGACCACAGATCCATCAAGCAGCTCTTTGTTTACAGGAGGCTACAAAAAATTACCTTGCCAAAGATCACTAGGCATTGCTGCAGGGAAAGACAACGTACAGCCTCTGTTACAGTGCAACGCATTTTGATTTAGCAGCTGCACAACCAAAGATGATGCTTTATTGTCTTCCCTACAAAACTATGCTGGTCACAAACCCAGAAAAATGACAGATAAAACCACTAAGTGTGTGCTCTCTTATGGGTGAAATAAGTATCTTTATCACAGCACAAAAGGGATTAACTATTTGCACAGGGTATACAGCCTTCCCTTCAGCCACTCTTAAGGGAACATACATATTCTCATAAAGCTAATTGTGAAACCTGTTAGAGAACAAGGGGTCTCCAGCTCAGAGGGACTGAGGACACTTCTGCACAAGGCAGGAAGTCCTACTGCAGCTGCAGCATGATACACTAAGGATTCCCCTATGTAAGCATCACTGGATAGGTACCACCCCCTAACAGTCCCTTTTGCAAGTATATGTGCTGGTGCTGTGGCCTGGCTGCTGGAAGGCTGTAAGAGCAGCCCCCTATAGTTGTGGGATAGCTGGTTTTGTGTGCCTCTTCCCAACCTCATTGCACAAAGTTCTAACTGGTCCAGCTGGTTGGTACCATTACCTTTCATGCTCTGGGATATGAGAAGGCATGGCAGCTGCAGGCTCTAATGGCACCCAGACACCACTGCAAGCTGGCACTCTCAATCCCTACCTGTGCACAGAGGCACAGCCAGCTGTGTCCTGCGAGTGTCTGAGAAGGACGGATGCTTCGTTATAAATTCACTGTAGTATGAGGTTAGGAAATTGTAATCACTTTATCTAAGGATTTATGAGTCACACTAAAAAGGTCCAAGTGTTAATGACAACAAAAACAACAACACACGAGTCATTTCCCAAAGGCGCATTAACGTTTTTTCCCTTTGGAGATAGGACACTGAGGTATGAAAAAGTTAGGCAACTTGCCTGGAGTCACAAGATGAGTCACTGATTGAAAAAGGACAAGTCCAAGCTAAACCTGATGAAAATCTACAGCATACTGATGCAGACCTTCCATGAAGATCAACTGACTCCATAGGCAGGCATCAGAATGTTGCAGTAATTGCCTGTTGCTTTCCACAGCCATTCGTTTTGGTTTGTTGTCTATGAAATATCTGTTTTGGAAGGTACCTCTTACAAGTATGTTTGCTCCTCCTTTTCCCTCCTTTCAGACGGGAAAGATCCTAGTAGTGAAGGTTAGTGACACCCTTTGGATTATTCCATTCACTAATCTCAGCATAAAGCCAACCCACTTCCAAGAAGTCCTCTAATTATTCAGGCACTGTGCCCTTCTCCACAGAGAGTAAAGACTACCCCAAATACCTGCACCTCTCTTCATCCCTCAGGATACCAGAATCCAGCAGCTTCCACACTACCATGAGAAGAGAATGGCCAGTATCTCAGCAGGAGCTCATTAAGCTGCATCCATAACAATAACTGACTTCAGTAATGAAATTACAATGCAGCCACAGTACATGTTTTCAAAATATCAATCCTGAATCAAGTCCAGCTAAAACTAAGCATGAAACAAAACAAAGGCTTACAAAGTGATAAGAGAGAAAAGTTACAGCTTATAAAAATAAATTCTATCTAAAAGAATTAATTAACACCTTTCAGAAAGGCACTCTATTCACACTGAAAAGCAATCATAGCAATTCACAGCAAGCACTAGGTCTTTATTGCTTTTGTCTTTTCAGACAGCAGCAAAAATGTAAACTGCCTAGAGCTAGCTGTAGGATGATGGACAACAGACACCTGACTTCTCATCATAATAAACTCCATTTATTTTGCTCCCCACCAGCCCTCTTTGCAGCCTTAAATCAGGAGTATAAACTGAATAAAGCACGATTTTGTTGGTCATTTTGAAGCCCACAGCACATCACTGAAATTTACATCCACACAAGTCATTAAGGAGAACACATGTGATTAACTTAAAGTATGATGCATTCCATAAGGTGACTTCTTTTGTTAATATTAATCAAATTGTAGCAAAACCAATGTCATATATTTTGTTCTAGAACTAAAGGGTAATTGGTAGGAAATTACCCACAAAAACAGCTATGAAAATCTTGGCTGCAAAGTAGGGTGAGACTGCCAGGTCTTATGTGAGAGCTGTCAATTGCATAGATTAGTGAAATGAGAATTTGAAAGGTTCCCCTGCACGAAGAATAGAAATCTATCAGCAGCTTTCCAGGGGGTTCTGCTTTTCTTTCTGCATTGCAAATGGTGAGACATCTAATAAGCAATCACAGCACTCAAAGGTAATTTCAAGTGCGCAACTGTGGGCCCAGTTATGGAAGAAAAACTGTGTCTCCTAAAAACAAAATTACAGGGTTGGAACTCTATCAGTTCTGAAACACTGGAATGCAAGCAGCAGAATGTGCTGGGCAACTCTGTTCCTCAACAAATGTCCCTACATAAAACCCCTCCATGGGTTTGGATATTGCTTGTGGATAGAGTCTCTCTTCACTGTTTTCCCTTTATGTGCTCTGTTGCAGCATCTTTGCATTAGTGTCTCAAACTGATACTCAACCTACAAGACCCTGGGAGGTTCAAACAATCAAGGACAGAGTGGAGAACATGCTGTAATAATTTTCACTTAAACCTCAGCAAAGACTGGAATGCTTAAATCACATTTAAGACATGGTTTGCCCAGTCTTATTACAGGGAAGCATTTAGTAAAAGGAGAACGAAAATAATTGTCCTTATGAACTACCATTTGTTAGTGAAGACCTCTTTTTCAAAAAAGCACATTATAGTGATGACTGAAGTCTTCTGTGTGTTTTGGAAAAACAAAAGTGACCCGAGAAATAACACTATTACAGTATTTTTTTGGGTCAAAATTAAATAAGTGGTGTTTCAAAAACCATCAGGGATAAAATGGCAGATTTTCTGCTGGAATAGAGTGATTTTCAACTCATGACTTCAACTACTCTGTTAATACTTATGTCATTTGATTCATCACTGTGGGGAAAGAGGAACTCCACATAGCTCAGGACTTACCAGCTTGTAGCCAAATTTGTTCAAGAGTTGTCCAGAGCTTCACAGGTCCCTGCTTCATTGTACTGCTCTGCATAGTTATTTCAGACATGGCCTGTTCCAGTCTTGATGCAGCAAGGGAAGAGGCTCGTTGTGATCCTACAAACCAAATAAACAATTATGTATTTTATACTTATTTGTGATATTTCTTGACTTAAGATATTTCTTTTCAGGCAGCCGGTCTGATCCTCCACTCACTGCATTGGTTTTATGTAATAAGAACTCTGCTGAATTTTGGCATGACAAACTGGAGAAGTATGTTTTATAAAAGGTTAATTTGCTGAAAAAAAACCCCACTAAATTATCCAAGAGCTGCAGCTCAAACAAGCAAATTAAGAGATAGTAATTTTATAAAGGTCTGCTTAGCATTCATCAAGGAAGCAACCATATTTTGCTTGTTTGGAAAGCAGAAGTCTAGCATCAAATATTTTCCACAAATACCTATTTTATAAGCACAGTCATCATACAATTACAAAATGTGCCCCACTAAGGTAAAAAATTCATACAGCATTACAAGGCAGCTTAGCCCCATTCACACAGCACACACATTTCAAGTGACATCAACATTGTTCTACTGATTTAGAGGCAGGGTGGTTTTTCATTTAACCTTGGGGAGCACAGAGTTCAGAGCTTTGACTATATTAACCTTTAGTATGCACTGTAACATTTACGCAAGAATAAAGTATTTGGCTCCCACACCTCTGGGACAAAACATCACATCAAAAGCTTATCCCAGGAGGGCTGCATGGGCAGAAACCACATTCTCCAGTACAGCAAGTGGGATTATAGTGGTGAGCCAACCTCTCAGAGGGGTATCAACATGGTAGCAACAAAATAAGAAGCTACAAATTGAGATTTCAGAGTTGGCTTTGAGAAATAAATATTTTAGTATACATAGGTTTTAATGTGATTTTATGGTTGATAAGCTCTTTCTCTGGAGAGCTGCTGTGACTGAAGCACTTGTGTTGATTAGCATTACTCTTGAATCTACCCTTACAGGCTGACCTCATAAACCACAAGATCCTCAAGTTAAAATCCCGCTTCTTCTCTCCCGCAGCCACAGGGCACATGCACTTCATGGTCTCTCTGAGAGGGACAGCATGCTTTTCCAGCTGGAGTGTGCTCAAGAGAGAGAGGGCTGCCAAACCACACCTCCTCACCAGCAGACCAACACATCACCCTGAGATCCCCAGGCACGATCTCCTGGCCATCTCTGGATGCTGAGCAGGGACCCAGCCTCCCGGCAGGCACAGGGGGAGACTGCTCACCTGGCAGGACATGGCTGCAGCTTCTACTTAACCCGAGGTGAGCCTGTCAGGGCTTGGGAGAGACCACAAGTGCAACCCCAGGCTCAGAACTGCAATGGGAAATATTTGTCCTATTATCTCATCGCTAACTAATGTCATTCATTTCAAGCAGGAGGACTTCAAAACAGCCCTGCAGCAGGCGCCTCCCACGGCTCCCTTGGAAAATGCAAATGTGTTCTTCCCAGATGCATTTCTTAAATTCCTACATAATTGCAGAGACATTCCTGATCTAATGTTCCAAGAGATGACAGTGCAGTAATGTAGCAATTACAGCTTTAAGGGTATAGGCAAAAGCCATTCAGCTTTGCAGGAAGAATTTATTGTATTTACCAGTTTATTTAACTGATCCACCTTCAGCCTGTTTCACTGCATGAGATTCCTCCCCTGCCTTGCCCACTCACACTCCTCTCCCCCATCCCTATCTCCACTAGTGAGAATTTCCCTTAAACTCCCAGAAATTCAAGTCAGACTAGAGCCATTTGACACAGGCAAAACTACCAAGCATTTATCCCCAGCCATCTAAAATACAGACAGCTTCTGTGCACTGCAGAGACAAGAAAATGGACACATGAACAGCTAGTGATGTTATTAGCAGAGCTTTGAAGCTAGGGCAGACTTCTTGCTTTCTAGATTGGCAAACCTGGAAAAAATTACATGAACTTTGTGGATTGTGCAGTCAGCCCAATGAGATTCTTGTATTAGCATGTTTTGAGTGCAACTTTCAGTACCACATTTTCCTGCCAAGGCTGCCCTCTCCCAGAGAAGCTTGTGGAGCTGTGTTTCTTGCAAGCATCCAAATGTAATGCTGGGCTGTTTGCACAGGGTGGGCAGATAGGCTGGTGTCTTATTCACATCCTCACAGAGCTCAGGGAAATCCTCTTTTCCTTGCAAATCAATCCAAGAAAACTAAATCACCTTTGTGCATTTTGGAGAGGTTCACACACTGCCTAAGTAGATCCCGTTAGAATCTACTTAAGCATCCTTCCCTCACAAAGCAGACTTCCCAGGAATCCAACAGCACAGTTGCTCTCAAAGAAACCCAAGTTAGCTGCTCCTCATCTTATCTTCGCTAGCCCAGTAGTTGCCAAGAGGGGAATTTGGGACTGATCCTGCCCAGTGCAGTGGGCATCTGCACAGCTGGACAAATGAGACCCAAGTTACTTAGCAATTTACATGGAGGCTCTTTTCATTTAATATCCCTTGGCATTCCAATCCTTTGATGTTTACTCTCTTTTCCTTCTTTCCCAGCCTACAAGAGGAAGCAGAATATTTTAGGCAGAGACCATGCCATCCCTGCTTGGCCTCTGACACAGATACACTCCTTGCTCTGGACATGCCAGATGATCAGGCTCTCTCCAAACCAGCCCATGCTCCACTTTTCCCACCTCTGTTCTCGCCCATCTCTGCTGGGATGCTCACAGCAGTTCTCCTTAAAGCTTGCCAAACCAAATAAACTCTGTAAGAGAAAGTTTTAGCCAGCCTGGTCCTTCTGGACTGAAAGGGGCTCAGCCACATCTCTGAATCTCAGGCAAGCAATGTGGTGCCCCTGGGGGTGGGCTGATGGCTACTGCAGCCACAAAAGTTTACCTCTAACACTGTTTACCTCTAACTCTGTCCTGAGAGGGGAGATCAGCATGTGTCACACTGGCAGGACTCTGGCCTCAGGGTGGTGAGGGGAGATGGAAAAACTTGAAGCGACATTAAAAAAATTATCTGAATGTCTCATTATAAGCTATCTCCTCCTAAAGAAACATGCTAAAAAAACCTCCCCACAAAACCTGTCTCGCAGAACTTTAATGTCATGCCTCAAAATACATGCAAATTTGGCATACGAAGATATCATATCAATTTGTTATTTTAGTGCAGTCTCTTTCTCTATTTAACAGCTCTACCAGACAGAATATAAACTTCACATTTTACAATAAAACCCTCCGAACATTTTGGAAATAACTCATGAAATAATAAACTGATTTTGTTGTGATGAGCTCTGCACATAAGCCCTACAAAATCTATCCAAATAATTTTAAAGCACTGTTCTAGGATGTTTTAAGACCAAAAAGACCAAGTTTAATATTTTGCATTTATGTGAAAATTGCTATCAAAATAGAAATGTAGCTCATTAGATTTACTAGGCTTATAAGAAACACGGAACTCCCAAGCCTAAATCACTTCAGGCAAAAGCATTATAAGATAAGACTGAATCAGAGAAAGAATGAAACGGCAAGGCAGCTGACTGATATCAGTGAATTTAGTTAGGAACACTGCTTCAGTTAGGAGAAGATGAAGAAAATGAAGAGGAATTAACCTTTCTGGCAGCAAACCTAAAATTCTGGCACAGCAAATAATCTAATTGTGGTCTAGCTGAGGGAGAGGCCAGTGTCAAAGCTGGCCACAGTGAGTGCCACTCCTCAGTGATGAGCCCAGAGATGGCAGAGCGCCTGCGCAGCGATGCTGCTGCATGCTCCCGGGGGATTGCACAGCAGACAGCACTGCCTGCTCCACAGCCACGCAGAAATATCAGACCTCCTCCCTCCTTCCAAGCAGGCGGCCCCAGCCCCAGCTCTGGAGGAGCACAAGGGCAAGAGGGAGTAGAGCTGTACCCTCCAATCTCACCCACTACTCTCTTCAAAGAGGCTCCCAGCAGGGAGAGCAGACCCAGGTGCTTCCCTCCTGCAGATGGAGAACAGCAGCACTCAGAGCCTGCAGAGAAGGGAGCCACAGAGCCCTGCTGAAACCAGCCAGTGCCAGCCCCACACTTAGGTGGGTGGTGTAATTCCAGTACCAGCTCCTTTCTTGCATTCATTGTGGGGGCAACCACGTTAGCATGGAAACCTGGATTCTCAGAGTGGAGGAGGAATATATTTCTTGGCTAAAACCAAACTGCATTCAGTGCAAATCACTTTAGGTGCATGAAAAGCTGATTCAAAGCTTGTACTTTACATTAATTTGCCCTTTCTGGCAGGCAGCACCATGGCATACAGCACAATTAAGACTCAGACAAACCCTAATTCCCTAGAGATCCATGAGATTTATGTGTTAGCTTTTATTTTTTGTCCATTTTTTGAGTTTGAGGTTCACTCTCTTTGCAAGTGTTTCACCTACATCCACAAGCATAGGCATTTGATTCCCTAAAAAACCCTCCAAATTAAAAGGCAAGTTTCTCACATTATCATCTGATTTTGAGCTAGGGTTTTAAAGAAGTACCAAGTATCACGAGACTTACAACAAAAATCACAAGTCAGCAGCGCTCTCTGAAAATTTCTTTTCCCCTTTACTGCCAAGATCAGCTTTGATGTCTCAGTTACTTCCATCTGACTCTTATCTGGTACTGTGAATATGTATTTACCATACAATAAAGCATCACAAGGTTTATGCACAAATCCCAAAGCAAATCACCATCTAATAGGAATTGACACTCTCACTCAGCTTTCCAAAACCAACAATAGCAACTGGCTTGATCAGGACATCTACAAAGAATTAAATGAGGAGAGGCTGAGGGAGGGAAGGAATAAAAAATAAAAAGAAGGAGAGAATTATACATCTCAAGAGCTTTGTGAAAGAAAGCAGGAACTCCTCTCTGTGTTATGCATGGGGAATCCAAGGTACAGGCAAACCACAGGGACACATTTTACAGCAGAGCTGGCCATGGAGGCAGACCTGGACCTCCTGACCAGCAACTTGGATGTGCACAGGCCCACCACCCTCTCCAAAGACAATGAAATATTCATTTCTCACAAAGGCATGTGTTTAGAACAGGAAAGCACAAATCTTATTTCCTTACCAGAATCAGTGTCATGAGCATCTGGCAGAGTGAGATGCAGTCCATTATGCTTTTTGATTACTGGTGTTTCAGTCACACTACTTCCTTTCTCAGAGCCACTGTAAAGAAACAAAACTGTGTAACCTGGACATCTCTCAGAGGAGAAACGTTCCCCTCAAAGCAGGCAATAGTTTAGCTGCCATGGGAAGTGAAAAATCAAGGTTTTCAGTTGTGAGAAATCAGCTTATTGAATGTATTAACATCTGGCCCACTGCCACTGGACAGGAAGCTCAGAGACTGCCCAGCAGGGGCTCCAGGGCACGCACTGGTATTTAGTTTATTTGGCTATAGGGAGTCTTTACAAACCAATGGACAAGAAACATGTTGGCAGCTAGAAGTCAGAGCAGAGGAGGCCCACTAGCAGACCCAGACCCAGCAAGAACCACCATCTCTTGGGCTTTTCTGCAGAATAATTTGTTCACAGGTCTACTGTGCTGATCCTTTTGAAAAAGACCAATTACCACCTTCCACCTGGGTGCTAATTTCTTCATATTTTCATTTCAAAGGGCTTATTTTCTCCCCTTCCTCCTTTGTTCTGTTCAAAAAGAGGAGGAAGATAAAAACTACCAGATACCACTGCTTTATGAAACAGGTGTGCTTATGAAACTCTGGTCTGTTCTTCTACTGGACTTCTGTCCTCACAGGAGAGGCCTTACAAAGAAAAACACACCAAAAAAAAAAATCATGTGGCTAACAAAAAGTCACTTAACACAGATCTCTTGAGCCTTCCTGTCACCACATAGTCTGCCATCCCCCAAGGATCAGTGGTGATGATATCTCCTCTCATCATCCATTAAGGGATGAAATACCAAAAGGAAAAGTGACTGCCCTGGCTACTTTTTCTGGCACACTTCCAAGCCTGCAGCTCAGCCTTTGGACAATATTCCTTCCAGGAAGCAAACTGTCAGAGAGACATGATTGGTGTGGATGCCCCCATCTTTCAGTCTGAGGAGTCTTTTGGTAAGGATTGCACAGAATTCCTTTCAATTTGCATTGATCTAGCAGAAGAATCAGCTTGGGACTGCTGTTTGGTTTTAAACACAATTATTCTGTTATCACAGAAAACAACAGCAAAAGACAAACCAAGTCTTGTCCTTCCCAGCTAACAACCTAAGGCTGAAAGCCACTTACTATCATTCATCATAATAGCAATCATATTTACAGTAGCTAAATAACATTTTACTTGGGCTTTGGGATCAAGCATAATGGTTTCTGTTAATGCACTCTGAATTCTTGGGCACTGGACTGCACCACTCTGTCCTTGAATGGGCCTCCCTTGTCTTCCATACTGGTTTCCACACTGATAATTCATTTGAGCCTATCACATAGTGACAGAGAGAAAGGAAAATTAAATTATCTGTCCTGTGCCTCAGCCTTACCTAGACAGGACTGACGTAAATGAAAGTGCCCTGGCCAGAAGCTGCTGGTGGAACTGTATGGAGAGCTCAGTCTTACTCCTGTGGATACAGGAATAAGGCAGCTGCACTTCCATATATTACTGCCATGAGGCAAGTGCTACCTTAATGCAGCAGCACCCCCATGGAATCACTGTTCAGGCACATGCTGAAACACTGATACACTGATAATACACTGTACTCCTACTCTAAGAACAGGGGAAGAGATTGGAAAATCCCAGGGTGAAAACCCAGTGTAATGCATTGTGCAAAACAGCCACTCCCAATGGCGCTCTTATCCCAGAGAAGGACTGAAAATGAACTACCCTTTAAAAGCTGCAGTACAAAGCCTTCAGCCAGGAAAGCTTTTTGATGCACCATGGAAGGGATAGGAGCCAGATGATTTGCTTTCTACATACAGCACTGGAAAGGTTGCCAGTAGGACAGCAGGACATCTACTGCCCATGTTTTTGAAAAGTAGTTGAGACAATGGACAAATTGGTGACAAAAATGCTGAGTGGGACACTTGGTTGTGAGACTGCAGAGGCACCAGTTTGTCAGAAAGAAGACAGGGGACTTGAACAGGCCATATGAATAGCTGCTAGGGATAAAATACTGGGCCCTGAGAGACTTTTTGGTCTGTCAGTCACAGTAAGATTGCAAAGCCAGCAAACAGGCCAGACAAATGGAACTGAAGTGCCATTTAATTGTGTAGGCAATTATCTACTGATTGAACCAGTAAGGAGTACTGTGTGCAACAGCTCTCAACTTTGTGTAAATGCAACCTTTTCTTTTGCAAGAGGCCCTAAAAATGCCTTTGTCCAAGTCTCACTGATAAGAATTCCCCTTAAGTTCCTCTGCCAGCCCTACCCAGAATACTTTACATATTTGTTAGCTGATACTGCTGCAATTTGCTAAACACAAGGGGCTTCCTGGGTCACTGAATCCAGTCTAAAACTGCAGGTACCAAGTTGATTCTTGTTACCTTTCCAGTAGCATTTTCTAATAAAAATACTTTATTATGTGCTTTTTGAAAAAAGAAAAAAAAAGCCCTGCTGGAATAGCAGTGAAATACATACCAGAGTTTTTAAAAGCAAAAGCAATTTGTTTTGTTTAAGATTCTATGGCTAAAGCTTATCAAAAGCCTCTAAAGCTATCACATCTTGGGTTTTTAAGTATAAGAGCCAAAGCACAGCTTGGGATCCAAATGCAGTCCAAATGGCTGAACTAGTTATTTGTCTATTTTCCAATGTACTCTCTACAGTCTCAGGCTTGCAGCCCCCCCTTGCAAGAATGAATCTTCCTCAGTCATAACTGTTCAGTGTGGATTTGATCAGCTTCATGAGGACTACTCATGGGTAGAAAGATTACTCATGTGAGAGGTACAGGATTGAAACCTTAGCTAAAGATACTAAGGCCTAAGGAAATCAATGATTCAAGTCTGTAAAAGACCACTGCTGCTATGTAAATATCTTGATTTTTTGTGTTTGGTTTGCTGCTCATTAGCTAAACCAACAAGAATTACTAAGAACCCCTCAAGGACAACTTGTACATAGACATGCACCATTCTGTACATATACTTCTGGTGTTTATAAAACTTATGCAATGCATAGAGAAACTGGGGAACAACTCAAGCTACATCACCCTGCTGTCTTGATTGCTGCCATCAAGCATGCTGTCCTTCCCATCAAACACAACCCCTGTGGACATTATGAGCAAGGGATCTTGGTATAATATTCCCAAGACACTGTACACTGATACCTTGACTAGGGCAATATCCTAAGGGTGTAGGAAGGAAGAAAACCCAACTCAGTATCTTCCACACTTTTTCAACTTTACCTTTCAGTGGGGCAGCAGATGAAAGGGAGGAAACAGGGAACATAGCATTGTGTGAATGCAGATTTACTAGGACAAGGGAAGGGTGAAAGATGCTACATCCTTCCTTTCTTTCCTTGCCCAGTTAGCACCAGGCTGTGCTACCAGCGTGCAACTACAGCATATGAGTTTGGCACTGTGCCTTTCCTTGGCTTACTCAATTCAGGACTGTGTCACCCCCACACATTCCTGGGTGGTGCCAACTACTGCAGACTGTGAACAATAGCTGATGAAAGCTCAGCACTACTGGGGAGAAAGAAAATCTGTCCTCCATTCTGGACACCCAAATATGGATAGAGATGTTTAGGCATTTGGTTCAGAAACCTGTGGTTCAAATTGCTTCTTCAGTATTAAAACATTGAGGTTTTGGTTTTGTTGTTTTAAATTTTTTTTTTTAAATAATGGCCATTAATATCTTCCTTTTTTTTTTTTTTTAATCTACTAGAAATATTACTTATCTTTAAAACAGTACTGTTTATCACCCTTCTTGCAAAATAACTCAAGTATCTAGAAAATTAAAAAGGATAACCACGTTACCAATTACAAATCTGAACTTGCTACAGTGGAGAAAGCCTACCTGTGCTGTAAAACACTGTATACCATCTGCCACATCTGCAACATATGTCTGCATGTCACCAGAGCCTCTTCAGGTCCTTTATGTATCCATTCCAGTTTTACTTTGGTGAAGAGTAAGCTGCAAGATGAAAAAGAATAACTCCTATTTTATTGGCATCTCATAAAAGTAGAGAATCAGTATCACTCCAGCAAGATCCTGGCAGGCAGCATTTTCACTTGCTTTGTACGTGCAGTAATAAAAGAAAACACCACAGCACAAAACATTTCATTTGGCTCAAGTTTGATTCCCCACAAGGAGATGAGAGGATTAACAATATTCCTCAGCTGCAGTCAAATCTGCGTCACAAAGCTGGCAGGACAGTGTTAAAAGCAAAGCATTGCAAAGCTAACAAGGTGAAACATAAACTAAATCTCATTTTATTTTGGACAGTATTAAAACCAGGAGAAAACAGAATTGCTGTAATACATATGCCCAGGCTGTTTTCTTAATCTGGCATCTCCTTATAGCACTGGCTTATATAATGAATTTCAGACAAAAACCCCAGCACACTTAACATACACAGATAATCATGTAATGCCTCACAGGAAGGAAACACTTTTTCTTAACCCCAGCTGGCAATCATCTCATGCCCCCAGGCAAGACAGCTGATAGCCTCGTACATTCTTGTTCTAGGTAGTGGAACTGCTGCTACTATTCTTATACCTAGAGAAGACGTACTTGCACAGACCGCTGGAATTCAGCAGAATTGGGTCACACAGAGGTTACAAGACAGATTTGGCAATGACACAAGCTACCACTTGCTGCCAGCATAGCTTTTAATACCATACTTCACTACACCCATTTTATCTAAATTGTGAAGATGATATAATTTATTTCTTTTATATTAATGAAAAACTTACTTTTCTGCTTTAAATGTTTTCGTGAAGTCTGATACCAACACAATTTTAATTCACTTGATATGGCTAGCAATTAATCCACTGGAAGCACATATGTGTACATACATGTACACAACAGCTGAATGCTAAAAATCCTAAAAACGGGTTTGTGAATGTGACCTGCAAGCTCCTGAGGAATCCAAACTACTTCAGAAAGACACAAGGGCAACTGCAAATACAACGTAAAGAAGAATTCACAGCTGAGTAAGAGATCCTTCACTTGGAATAATTAGAACTCTATTGCCAAGACTGTGTAGTGCATATCTACAGGAATGTGCTAAAATGGCAGTTCCATTTGGTACTAACAAACATCAGGGTGAGCATTTTTGATTTGGGTTTCTCGTTTGATTGGTTGGTTTTTCCTTGGGGGGCGGGGATGGTAGTTACCAAAATGTAGCCCAACTGTATCAACTGCTATAGGGAAGTCTGCTCACGGCTGCTGCTACAATTTGACCTGGTAGAACAAGCATTCCATGAAATTCTTCAGGTACAAACTTTGACTAGCAAAGGGAGATCAAGATTCATAATTAAGGGAATTTGTCTTCACCCTTTACTATTTTACATTCCTACTCTATATCTTTGATTTTCTTGTTACTGGTGTGAGCAAAACAAATACTGGTAAGAACATAATCTGCTCTTAGGCATGCTGACCTCCTAACTGGGAGGAAATGCCTTTATGATTCAGGTATTTGAGGCTAAAACACAGACTGATCAAAATTTTACTGGGACAAAAATGTAACAGTGGATGGATGCACTGTTAAAAAATAAGTCTGAATTCAAAGGAGTGGTTAGCAATGGAATTGGCCAGTGATGCCTGCTGCTCTGTACTTCCTGTGAACAGGCCTCATAAGAACAATGCCTGTATCAACACAACAGGATATAGAATCAATCACTTGGGCATAAGGAATACATATCACACTAGAAAGATGGGAAGTTACATCATGGAGTGCAATAGTATTAAAAAAGACATCAAATTCCTGAGCAACAATGCAGTTAAAAGGTCAAACAACCCTTAGCATCCATATACAGAAATGTAATCAGGTAGGAACTGGAAGACATGGCTATTCTTGATCAGAGCATCAGCAAGACATTTGTTACAATCCTGTTTCTAGTTCTTGCTCTTTGATTCCAGAAGATGACTAAAAATGGGATATGGTTCAGAAAATGGTTATGCATGATGAAGTGAAGGCTAGAAAAATGTATTTCATGAGAGGCTTGATAAGCTCAGTTTATTTGCTTTAACCAAGAAGCAGGAAAGAAATTGTTTTGCCCCAGCCTGCAAGCATCTACATGAAGTCTCTCATTGTGAGTCTTTGATGTAAAAGAAAAGATACACAGAATCTAAGAATTTGTTGGAAGCTGAAATCAGTCAAATGGAAATTTCTAAGTAAATGCATTCACGTAACTATCAAGGAAAATAATCTTTGCAGCAACTACCTTGTAAGAACAGTAAATTCTGTAGTCATTAAAGCCTTTTCAGCAAGGCAGGATAACATCTGGAAAGCAATGGTAGTGTACAAACAGAAGCTGTGGGTTTGATGCATAGGCTCATGAGTGAGTTTCTTTGGGCTGCAATGTGCAGAGGGGTGAGACTACATCATCTTCCTTCCCGAAGTTACTCTATTAAAAATATTCCTCCAGTCCCAGAAGCAAGTACATTGTACAATCTATGCTATTTTAAACATACAGAATAATTTTTAAATCACTACAAACTTTCAAAATGAAAGACCTTCGAAAGCACTGTACGGCCTGGCCCTCCTTGCAGCAGAAGAACAGTGGTCAAGAAGACCAAGGCTCAGAGACCAGCTGTATTTCATCCCAGAACAAAGCCACACTTCTCAACATGGTAAGATACCGCTCAGTATTAATTAAACAAACAAACCTATTAACAGTCAAACTCCAGGACAGGATGGCTCTGTCAAAGGCTCCTTCTTCTTACATTAGCAGGGACATAGATGGCTTATCAACAGGGAAGTAAAATCACTACATAGTATATTTACACATTGCAGTTAAACATTAAAAAGACAAAGCAAGCATTTTATCACTCTGCTGTTTACTGCTTACAGTGAGTATATGTCATCTGCTCTGGATGAAGATGCAATGTTCTCTCTCAGGAGAGAGAACAACTAATGAAACCAAGGAAAAAAACAAGTCTCTCACAAAAACATAATGAAGTCTCAGCACAATACTATCATGAGTTGTAAGGCACAGGCACACTACAGGATCTTGGAGATACCATGCCCTACTAGCTGTTGTGGCAGTTCACCTTGGGAATAGTGTTATCCACGTTATTGTGTAGTCTTATAATGAACCAAACCAAAAGACAAATTGGAGGAATGTAAGAAGCAAAAGGAATCAAACCATACCAGTGGCAGTAGCAAACAATGCAATTAAACATGCTAAGTAAAAGGTGGAAATACAAACAGGATATCAGGCTGCATGTGCTATACACTCTTAGTATTTCTCAGTTTCTAATAAGCTTTGTAACAGTGAAACCAGATAAGTAAATACATAGAGAAAACAGTGAGGTAGTATCCCTATCTCAAGCTTAAAATTTTATTACTGAGCTAGCACTCTTACTACACATAAATCTAATGAGCATTGTGTCCTATCAGTGTTTGCACACAATTTCAGGGGCATAAATAAAAATTACTTACGCACAGATCTCACCTTATTGTATTTCTTAATATCATTGTGCATTTGTATGATGCTTGTAGTATTAAGCAGTGTAGACTTTTAAAAGGATTCAACATATAAAAATAGCCCCAAGATTATCAATATAGTCATTGGTAATTTTATTAGCCTGTGAATATGAAAACAGATTTGGGCTAAAGCAAGTATATAAATTGCTACTACACAAGCATAGGAAAACAGAGCAAAAAAACCCACAAATCATTCTTGTAATGTGCGTGACTTCAGGGACAGTACCAATGGAAAATAACCAGTACAACCAGTGCTTAGTCTTGATACAAGACTCTAAGCTCCCTCTCAGAAGTTTTCTTTTGTGGGGCATGTGGACAGTATGCAAAGGCTTTTTTTCTCCAATGGAACATCAGGTTACTGCCACAAGCAAACACACCCATCTCTCACCCTATCACATTAACTCTGACAAATTAAAATCCAGATGCAGCCAAATTTGGTGAGACCTTAAGTTCTGAAAATTCAAAATGAATCCATAATGAGGTTTCCCAAGCATCAAAACTTCAGCAGTACAAATTACCGTATCACTGTAATATGTCACACCTTGACAAAAAAGGTAGACCTACAAAAATTTTCAGAAGCAAGCAAGCTACTTCAGGGGATTTCAGAAGGCATTCAACATTTGTTTTCATAAAGGCTGATTTTAGTTGCTTATACTCATGATATCTCAAGGCCTGGCCAAATACACCTATCTAGCACTTCCAAGAGCCTTCTAATGTTACATGGCTAAATGCTCAGCCTTTAAGTTCTTTAATATTACCACCCATGAAGAAAAGAGACAATTCTTTCATATCCCTGAAAATTTAATTACTGAGGTTTAATAGCTAATATTTATTATCAGAAGATCTCACAAGTGCATCTGTATACCATAAATGCTTATGAGAACATCTGTGGAAGTTGTAATTTGCTGTGTATAGCAATAATCAATTGAAGACTTTATGGATGCTCTAGGACTTTAAAAGATTTAATAATCAGTTAATTATTGGGACTTTTAAAACCTGCTATAAAATGGAGCTCTTAGCATCAAATGTAGCCCTTGTAGTACAGATTTATACAGAATCACAGTGGGATCTATGTCTTATCACTTGACAAGCAATAAATAATGCCAGTACTATAACAAACAAGAACACCTTCCACTCATTTCAAGATTGAGAGACTAAATTAGGACTAATGAGTATTATGTAGTCATTTGTCTATATATTTTTGCCATTCACTGTCTGCTTAAAACCCCTCCAGTTTTTGAGAGCTTGTCAGCAGCTTCTCAAAGATCTACATGTCTTTGAGCTTCACCAGATCGGTGCTGTCATTCCCCAAAGTCTTTCATTATTCACCCAGTTTTGTCTCCTACACACACAGCTGCTGGGTTATTTTGGATTCTGAATGCAAAAGAAACAAAACAAACCACCAAAACATGCAGCAGTGTATCTTAATTCACCAGACAACTGTGTACATGGGCATGAAGCTCCTGACCTTCTGCAGCTA